GGACAGAACCCAGGGCCTTGTGCATGCTGGGCAAGTCTTCTACCTCCTCAGCTCACTGTTACGGCTCCTAGAAATCCCCTTGAGAACAAGGCTCACAGCCATGGGTGCAGACCGTCTGTGGGCTGCAGTCTGGAAATCTAGCCTGCCTCTCTCGGAAGGACATGGCCTCTACTCTCTGAGAAAGGCCTTCTCACCCTGCCTGCCCATCAGTGTTCTCTCAGGCCTCACCCAGACCTGATCCCGGGTGCTTCTGTCCTGTCTCTGGCTCTCTGCAACAGCACTGACCTTCCCTTGGGAAAGTTGAGTCTCTTAAATTGTAGCAAAGAATAATCCACACCAGTCTTCTCGTGTCTGACAGATCTCTCCGTCGTCCCAGAGGGACTGATAACCACTCGGCTCAGTCCTGGACAGCTTCTCATCGTACCGAGGGGAGAGGCTACTGACCCATCACTGGCTTAACTCAGGGCCAGGGAGCCAGGAACACAGCTCAGATCAAGAACTGGCCAGCAGGAGTTTGCAGGTCCCATGAGGAACCACTTCATGGAAGACCAAAGGCCCAATAGCCAGGCTGAGGCCCCCCCATCCTTTCCCCACTAGATTAGAAAGACTGCTCAAAAGCTAGGCATGGCAGCGCTCGCCCTTAATCCCAGCACTGGGGAGGCAGAGGCAGGCCAGAGCTCAAGACCAGCCTGGTCTACACAGAGAAGCCCTGTCTGGAAAAATCAAAAGAAATAAAATATGGGTCTTTCTCCAGTGTTGTCTAATAAGTCAGGTCAGTGTTAGAGCTCAAAACTGGCCCTCTGTAAGTGATGGAAAAAGCCCGGGCTGACAACTGGCCACCAGGGAAGGGGAAGCAATGACTCTGCCTTGTAGAGGGCCCCTCACCAAGACTTCCTCATTCCCAGCAGAGGCCCTCTGGCCTGACAGGCCAGTCTTCCCGCTGAGCTCTCCTTCCTAGGGCATGGCCAACACCTCAGACAAGCTAACGTTCCCTGAATCATCCTTTACTGGGAGCTTCAGGGACAGGACTCTGGCCAGGACAAGCCAGTCTGGGAAGGTGGGAGGCAACCACTCTGTCTGGCCCTTCATCAAGATTCTCACATCCTTCCAGCACGCGGCTAAGAAGTTCCTGGGCTAGCTCAAGACCATGGTCACAGACATGGCTGCAGAGTGGGGAAGGGGACTTGGGGGCCCAGAGTTCAGGAGCATCCTCAGATGGCAGCCAATTGGATGACGTGACATGGAAAACAGAGCTTCCTGGACACTGGCGTCTGCTCTTGTACACACCGCATGACAGGGAGGTCACTACTGGGCCGTCACTGCGGACAGTGAAAACAGGCTCTACATGGGGTGCAGAAGGGAGCAGACCCCACCCGCCCTAGGCAGCAGGCAGAAATACCTTTGGAAAGAGCCAAATGGCTTCTCTGCCCCCTATGCTGTTTAGCTGCCCTGGCCTGCCCCCGCCCACCTTGGTCAAGAGGATTGTTTTCTGAAACACAGACATAAGTATTGTCAATTATAATCATTTCTTCTTTTTCTTGAAACTGTTTTTTCTTCAGGTATGTCCCCTTTAATTATAAATCTTATCTCAAGGGGCTGGAGAGATGGCTCAGAGGTTAAGAGCATCGCCTGCTCTTCCAAAGGTCCTGAGTTCAATTCCCAGCAACCACATGGTGACTCACAACCATCTGTAATGGGGTCTGGTGCCCTCTTCTGGCCTGCAGGCATACACACAGACAGAATATTATATACACAATAAATAAATAAACAAATAAATAAATAATAAAAAATAAATCTTATCTCAACTAGGACACACCACAGTACACTTCAAAAATAGCAGAAACGGGGCTGAAGAGCTGACTCAGTGGTTAGGAGCACTGGTGTTCTTCCAGAGGTCTGAGTTCAATTCCCAGCTCACAGCCCTCCGTAATGAGATCTGGTGCCCTCTTCTGGCCTGCAAGCATACATGCAAGAGGAACACTGTCTACATAACAAATAATAATAATAATAAAAAGCAAAATCAGCCCACTGCAACACAAACCACACCGCTTAGTCGGGGGTGGTGGAGCAAGCCTTTAACCCCAGAATTTGGGAGGCCAAGGCAGGCGGATGGATCTCTGATCTGAGTTCAAGGCTAGCCTGGTTCACAAAGTGAGTTCCAGGACAGCCAGGGCTACATAGAGAAATCCAGTCGGGTGGGGGGTGGGAATCACAGTGCTTCTTCAGGCCTTTCTGTGACCCAGGGGAGCATGTGGCTCAGGCTGAGCTATTTTTAAAATGAAGATGGGTCTCTCGGCATGTGCCAGCATGGAACAGAAATGAGAATTGAATGAAGGACAGCATGCCAAACACGGCAGGGGAACCAGGGCCCAGCCCCCCATGTGTGCTGCAGAACCAGCCTCTAGTGAGAAAAGGACAGATGGGGTCTGGGCAGCGTCAAGCTCTTCCTGAGGGCTGGCCCAGGGGCCTGTAGGCCAACTCCTAATCCACACACAGTACCTTTGCCATTAGGAGACCTGGCTAGGCAGCAACTTTTACAAAACTACTTTGACCCAGTCCTGTCGCAGCGACCCATCGTGCTCCCTGGGGCTGCAGGAAACAAGGCCCCCTAGTGGGTCTCCCTGTTCTAGGGACTGAGCAGCACAGTCCTCTGTGCCCAGTTCTAGGCCTCAGCAGCCTCCTGATGGTGACGTTCCCAGTTCTCACCCAGCCCAGGGCTAGGCAGGAACTGAGGAGCTTTCTCCAGGCAGCACTGCTAGGGCAGGAGCACACAGTGGAAACGAAGCTGTCGGGCAGTCCGCGGCAGGGCTCCTGTTTGAGTGGCTGCAGTTTCTGGGACAGACACTATAGAAAATTTAACATGGTTGAGTCATATTCTCTCTGCACTCCTCAGAAAGAGACTTTGAGGCCCAAGCAAGTCTTAACTGGCAACCATCCTCCTATCCTTGCCTCCCAAACGCTGAGACTCTGGGGTTAAACTCTGCTGGCTTCTTGCTTGTTCGCAGATGTATCACACATGCAGTTAATTCCTGGCTCACAAAGATCTCATGACCTCACTGGTGTTTTCCCCAATGTCTGAAACCACAAAGCAGCTTTTCTGTTTTGTTCTGTTTTGAATTTAAAAACACTTAATGCTATCTTTTTCTACCCTGAGTATGGTGGACTCTAATTGGGTGTTTAAGTAACAACAGAATCTGGGATGATCAGAGACTGAGCACAGGAACCTGCTCCCATAAAGCCTGGAAGAAGCATGCATGGGAAAATCAGTGGTGTCAATGAAAGAGGCTGGATTCGGGATAGTTTTGTTTTCTTTTTACTTTCTTCCTTCTACCTCCTCCACCAAGTTAAAGGTGGTGGCTCTAACCAATCTATCACAACAGGTCTCCAACTATGCCAGCAGCAACAGCCAACTGGCTACTGGTGCCAGGAGGGAACACGCCAGAACCCCACAGCGGGGGTCTTCAGAGCTGGCTTCTATTTGGTGCTAACTGCTCTAACAGGGCCACCATGCCACTCAAGAGGACTCAGCATAGCTCACTTTCTTGACTCTAGGAACAATCAAAACTGGCGTCTGGGGGCCAGATGCCAACGCAGCAGCCCAGCAGCACACCTGCGCAGCAGTTCCCGAGGAGCCGGGCCACTGCATGGTCAGCAGAGCTGCTCTGACACGCTGGAGCTGTGTGTGGATGGGACATGAGGCCCTGTCCAGAACGCTCTAAGCCAGGCAACAATCAGCAGAGTGTTTGTCTACAGGGGGAACAAGTTAGTCTCTGGACTCAAATCCCATGGTGCTCTCTACCCATAGGTCCCTACCTGTCCCTGAGGTCTGAGAGAGCCCACGACCCCACCCATCCATACTGAGTTGGGATCTGTGTGTCAACACTGGGGGACAAAATGCAAATTAGAGACATGTAAAATTCAAAGTTCACCAGCTGATGCCCACAGTGGAATGCTGACGCCTGAGGTCACCACGTACATTATTTAGGTAGAGCGAAGAGCAAAAGCTTCTCAAAGTTTGAGTGTTTATTAGTTTTTAAATAAGAGAAGTACTATTTTAATTTCACATCTTGGCTACGTTTCAACACAGGCAATGCCACAGAGTACCAAGCCCCACACTAAGCCAGGCATCAGCTCCCTCCCACCCTCCTTGCACAAGGCCCTGTCCAAGACCCTTTACTTCCCAGCTAAACACAACTGACAGATGAGTTCGGCACAAAACACCAATAGGGCCTGCAGCAAGCCAGAGCGTTGCAGTGAGCCCCTCCTACAGACGACTTGTCACACAGGGCAGACAGCAAGCTCGCTCATGGTGTAACCCTTGGCACACACTCAGACTCAGAGACACAGGCACACTCTGCCCTTCTCACTTCTCAGGACCTCAGTGGGGTCTCTCTGCATGGGGACAAGACTGTGCAGGATGGCTTCAGAGCATGGGGCCATATCCAGGTCAGCGTGGTGTAAGGCATACAAGGGTAAGAGAGGCCATGTCAGCGATGAATAGCGTTATGGGAAAAATTCCCAGGCAGCAGGACAGACGTGGTGCTTGATGGTCCAGTTTCGGCAACAGTGAAGTTCTCCAGTCTAAAGCCTACTGTGAACATATCACTGCTTCTTTGGCTCTGGGTGAGGCCATTTGCTCCAAGCTTGGTAACAGAAAAGAAAACAGATTCCTCGGCATGGAAACAGCCTAGAGAAAGCCAGGGTCCCAGGGGTAGGAGGAAGACAGCAAAGCTCACCGTGGCTGGAGTACAGAAGACAGGGAAACCTGCCTAGTCACTAGCATTGAAACAAACACGTAAAGTGTGAGGGGCTTTAAACTAGAAACACCTGGAATAAAAAATAAAAAAACAAAAAGCAAAACTGAAAAACTGAAGAGTCAAGCTCCTCTTTCTAAATCACTCATTTACATATCGTGTCAGGGTATAACGTATAGACAAATGCATCCTGCAGGAAACACGGCCAACCCACGGGGCTCAACAGCATGTCACAGGACAGAGTCCTAGGAAGTTTCATCGCACATGGGCGTCTTTTAATAGGGGGGAAATCAGAAAATATCTGGCCAGACTGGGATGAGGCAAATGGGAACGCTTCAGAGCCCAAGGGTTCCCTCTCTGAGGGTGGGTGAGCAAGGGAAGAATGGAGCATGCAGGAAAGAACTCGTGAGTTACATCCCAGTCCCCACCCTTAGGAAAAAGAGAAAGAGGACACAGTTCCCATCACGCCACACCCCACCCACATCACCCCACACCCACAGCAGCACCTCAGTGCACCCCCTCTGCTGCCCGCCATGCCTGGGTGAAAGAGGGGGCTGTGAGAAGGGTGAGGAGCGGTGGAGAGAGCCACACTTCAGTCTGCTTTCCACTCTCCGGCTCCGGTAGGAAGTCTGCAGTCATCTGATGCCTGACACAGAGCTGGAGTAGGAGGTGGCCACGAGAGGGGTGCCATTGTTGGCAGAGCAGCCTTGCCTCAGCGTCTCGAAGTACGAGGCCTGCACGGGCTTGTGACACTGCAGCACTTTAATGGCGTCTTCTATCTTAAACCACTCTCTCTTCCGGCCTGTGGAGCAGAGGGGAGAGATGAAGACAAGCTGGGGCAGGGAGGACACCCAAGCCAGGCTTCACGGCTGCTGTGGTGCCTACGGTTCAGCACTGGAGGGGAAGGCAGGAGGGTCAGGAATGGATGCTCATCCTTGGCTACACAGGGGAACCAAGGCCTTGGTACATGAGAGCCTAGCTCACCCTATGTCCCAAAGCCATGCTTCTCAATACATTGATTTTTTCACAGAAGTAAAGCTAGCACTCTCCATAATTCAAATCTTCTACAGAGCCAACTGAAGGACACAGATGGGCTGGGACCCAAAACTGAGAACCGCGAGCAGCGCTCGTCACACCACCCTCTCCAGGGCTCTAGCGCCATCAGCTCGCACCTCCATGGAAGGGTCTGGAACCCTCATCCTTGGCAAACATTAACACCACCATCAGCTGCCAGGATCACCATGACGGTTGACTTATAATCTGCTATTACAGCTTTATTTTAAAAAGTGTGTAAGTGGGGCTGGAGAGATGGCTCAGCGGTTAAGAGCATTGCCTGCTCTTCCAAAGGTCCTGAGTTCGATTCCCAGCAACCACA